ATACTCCAATTCCTCTACAAAGAGGAGCTATAGAGAGACAATCGTCGTAGCCCCCCTATTGGTATACCGAATTATTTCTAGAGAAAGACAAAAGTGACAAAAGATAAACCAGAAAGAGACAAGAGAGAAGAGCAAAGAGACGAGTGCGAGACCAGATAGAGACTAGAGAAAGACAAGAGAGAGACCAAAGAGACTAGAGAGAGACTAGAGAAAGACCAGAGTGAGATGAGAGAGACCAAACAAACTAGAGCAATATCAGAGAGACTAGAGAGTGACAAAAGAGACTAGAGCGAGACTAGAGAAAGATCGGGAAGACAAGAGAGAGGCCAGACCAGAGAGACACCAGTGGGAGGCCAGAGAGAGACCAAAAAGACTAGTGAAACCAGAGAGAGACTAGAGAGACACAAGAGAGACTAGAAAGAGACCAGATAGAGACTAGAGAAAGACCAAGAAGACTTGAGAAAGGCCAGACTAGAGGGACAGCAGCTGTAGCTCTCAATTCCAAAGTAAAAGTTGTGCACCCGAACTTCCTGTACTTTCTTTGGACCATAAATCTAACATGGGGCCGTCTTTCCTTGTGTCTGGACCGATAACATTTTTGACACAATGTTTTGTAAAGAGTATTCTAAAAGATGAAGTGTTCAAACTTCTGCTTTTGACGGCTGCATTTGTACTGACTTTATATCTGGTACAAAGAGGAACTGGTGATGTTTTCTTCTGACAAAGCGTTGAAAGACTGCGAATCGTCGTTTGAAGTGTGATTTAGCAGCTGCTGGGTTTGAATGGGGGCTGATGCTAAAGGGAGAATTTTAGAGTTTTTAATCACTTTACATTGTTAAATCGTCATAAAGAAGAGAGATTTAGCTCCGTTAGCACTAATATTAGCAACTTTTGTCCCGTACGTCTTCTCTTAATGACGTATAACTCTGCTTTTTGTCTTTAGTCGTCAACAAAAAAGCTAACATCGTGTCACACTAGTGCTAGCATTGCACTGGTGCTAGCACATGAATCTATTATAATAACTGGATAGGGTATTACTACCTTATTGCTGTTCCACCTACATGTATGGGCACAAGGGGCGCCTGTGGTACTGCAGACTAAATTCACGAGGGCTACCCAGAAAGAAATCCAATAGAACTCAATGTAAATTAAAACAGCTTGACCTCAGCTGACAGAGAACCTACAGCTTTCAGAAAGGTCGGATTTTGTGGGGATTTTAGTGTCCCTAGTCATCCTGAACTTTTTTTCTTCTTAAATCTTTTGGTTTTCTTTAAATCTACACTTTACTGCCACAAACTCTGCTTGTTTCCTTCCCGCTCTGACTCCGCTCTGATTGGTCAGAAGGCTGCCCTCTGATTGGTCAAAGCGCAACCGAGCCCCTCTGTGTACGTGCATGAGAGCCACACACTCATATTTGGCGCAAAGCATCATGGCCCCTACACTGCACAGAACCGGGAGGACCAGACGATCAAAATATAGGCGACTCCCGCTAAACTCTCGATCCCCGTATATTTCCCATGCGCTACTGAGCACTAGACATTCATTAGAATACGGCGCCTTCTTGGATCACCGGGGCTTGTGCTAGCGTCACACTGGACCTAGCGTCACAGTGGTGCTAGTGTCAGTGGTGCTAGCATCACATCAGTGTTAGCGTCACAGCAGTGTTAGCATCACATCAGTGTTAGCGTCACAGCAGTGTTAGCGTCACAGCAGCGCTAGCGTCACAGTGGTGCTAGCTTCCTCTCTGGCTTTAAAGCATTTGCAGGTCGTCTCTATAGAAGAGCTTCTGTGATGAATTATTGAGGAACAGGCAGCTCGCTCTTGCGCTCTGATCTCGCCGGGCAAACGAGAAAAAAAAAAAAAAGGTGGTATATAGCAGTAGACCGACCGCATGCCGGGAATGAGAAGTGCGCGGGGGAGCGAGGTCGCGCGGAGGGGTCTAACAGATGAGATTGGAATGTTGATGCTTGTTTTGTGTTGTGTGGATGTTGTTCGGCTGCAGGAAGGAAGCACTGAAGGATACAGCAGAAATGTGTGAAGGTAATGTTGTAGGTTTGTGCTTCTTGATTAAGAAACTAGACAACTCTATTCTAATATGTTTTATTACTCAGCTGCATTTAAGAGACCGTTGCTATGACTACCCCCATTCACATTAAACATTAGAGCGTAAATATGATTGTATTATATTAGTATTGTTTTTGTCTATTTTGATTAGACAAAAGTTACATAAATAGCATCTTAAGTAGATATAATACAGTACAGTGAAACATGTGGGTTCGATTCCCCCACAAGACCTCCCCCAACTGCTCCCACTGATGTCTGCTGCTGTTGTGTCCCTGGGCAAGACACTTAAAGGTATATGGGAGGATTTACTTACTATCGGTCCTATAATTACAAATTATTCTGATGATATGCCGAGACACACGTGTGCCTGTGTGTGTGTCACCAGCTCCTCTGATTTCAGGTAGTCGCAAAATTACATAGATATCCCCAAGTTTCCGAGATCACATGAAGGCAGCACGAGCTTTTGGATTGGTACATAGTTGTCAGAGAAGTTCTTGATGCTGTATGAGCGTGGACGGATCTAAAAACCACTCCAGGTCTGTACTTGAACAGGGAATCCTAATGTAAAATGATTTAACGACAGAGAAATCCGGTTTGCAGTAAAAAACTATACTCAAATACAAACAAATCTTTACCTCTCTGAAGCTAATCTAAAGATATGACTAAAATAAAACTACACACATGTTAAATGATCACAGACTCTGGGTGCAAGGCCAATGAAGTGCCTTGCCCGAGGACACACCAACAGGAGCTAGTTTCCCCACAGTAAATGTTGCATTAAAAACTACACTCTGAACAAATCTCTTTACAGCAACAACCACTGCCTTCCGTCTTCATTCCCATCACGTTGCGCTTCCCGAATCCAGAGCCTGAATTTGGGCAGCGAGCGCGTCCGTCCCGTTGATCCCTGCGGGCTAATTAAACTCTGACTCCATTAGGAAGCGGCTTAATTACATCAGCCAATTAGAGGCGAGTGCGGGCCCATCCAGCGTAATGAAGAGGAGGCGACCTGGATAAGAACAAGAAACACGTGCTGAGGAGGACCACGGGACGCCAAGCCAGCGCCAAGTCTGAGGACCGCATTTACATATGAAAAGTGGGAATAGGGGTGAGTTTGAAGGCACTGGGTAGTCGTTTGTCAAGTCCAAAGTGTGGCCTGGGTGTTGAGACATATGATTAGATGACTTTATGTAAGAAGGAGAAGCTAACTTTCTTGTACGGGAAGCTTTGGGACCGAGCCCTTCACTTCGGATCGTCAAATTTCACTGCTCAAAACCCAGCTGTTCAAAACTGCCTTTATATTGGGGTTCGAATCCCGGTCGGAATGAGATTGGAAAGCCTTAGTGGCATCAGGATGGGTCAAATGCAGAGGGAATTTTTTAGTCAAGGGATTAATAAAGTGCACATTTACATTTACTATATGCAACTGTTTATTCTAGGTTATTCATTTTGGCTTTTTTTAACCTCCCCCTTTGTAAAGTGTCATCACGAGTCCAAGAACAAAGCAAAGAAACCAAAGATGACCATAACAAGCTGACTTCATTAGACACACTTTTTCCACTGTTGGGAAAACACTAATATAAACAGACAGAGACCAACTATGCGTGTGAAAACTGCTAATAGTTCCAGATCTGTTTAGACAGGGAGAACATTCTTTCACTTTCACACTATGCTTATGGTTTGAAAGTTAGGTACCTCAGCTTGAAATGGAGGTAATAAGCCCCCCAAAAAAACGGACACATTTCTAGTTAAAAAGGATATATTTTTACAACAGTTTTAAAAAGGACAATGGTGACAATCAGGGACACTCAACATTCAACAGCATTTGTGGACATTGGTCTCCGTCCGTTTGAATTGTTTGTTTTTCTGATCTGTGTTGGCGAATTCAACATATTATCATTAACTCCGAGATAACTGCTGTTGTGATTTGGGGCGATACAAAAATACATTTAATAAAATTGAGAAAAACGTGAGGCGATTGTCTGTTTTTTGCGTATGTACCCTCTCGTCTGCCCAGAAGGTGTTAAATCGGGCCGAAAACCCCTTCAACTCCTTTCTCTGGCCTTGCATCATCAACACGACCGTTCTTATCCAAGCCCAACTCTCGCGGACATTGCCTTCCCTTAACTTCCCCTAATCCGGATCACCTCGTCCTCCTCCCCGCTCTCCTCGGAATTCTCTGCAACTTTGCGATAGGAGCCCAGTTCGCTGTTGTTGGTTTGTTCTGTGTCTTTTTTTCTTTTTCTCCTTCTCCCACCTACGAACGTCCGTCTGGCAAGGTGAACCCGCAATCTCCTACCTACTGTGTGTTTGCGTGGGCATATAACCGCTGCTCAACCTCCCGGGAGATTAAGCTATGCATCCGGAAAGGAGGCAGAAAAACTCCTGTATGTATATGTACTTTATACCGAGTACACAGAAGAGGATAAAACTCAAGGTCTTTCAAAGGAACAAATATTCGTAAGCAAAGCAGCCACAGAAGCCAAACAAGACAAATTGAAAGTTTATAGGTGTTCGCAATTAGGGGCCCAACGATGTATGACATTTTATAGATTCTCTGGGTGTTTAAGAACCAGTTCAGAGTAAAAATAAATTGTTGAGATTCTTTGTAAGTAAGTAAGAGAACTTTGTGAAGCTGAGAGCCTGCAGTTCCGGCCTCCGATTACTCAATTCCTATTTTTTAAATTTAATTTTGAAAATTCTTGTATAGCTGGTGTCTGGAGGTCAGCTCTGTCGACGGGAGAATGACCAGGATTATTTACCCAAAAAGTAAAAAAATACCAGGCAGAATACATGTAAAATTCATAGGATGCTTTTAGCTATTTTTGTGCCATTTTCTACCAGTTCCATTCCAGAATATTTCATTTGACCGGAAAAACAACACAATATTTATTATCACGTACACATGTTTCCAGGAGGACAGAAACATAAATATGAATAAACTCCGCAACACTTTCAGTCATAGTAAATTAGGACAAGTGTTACAAAATATCCTGTTGACCAAAACCCGGAACAATCCTTAAAAAAATCACCTGTTTTAGAATGATGTTAGTATTACTGTAAGACCGGCCTAAGGCCTGGTTTACTGAGTCCTGGATCTACAGCCTCTCTCAACATGGAACTCCTTTTCCCCACTGTTTTTAGTCCTTATAATTGTTCATTGCTGATGCAGGAGGGTTGCTTCACTGATTGTTGTTAGCGAACCAACAACTTTTTAAAGTTCTCCAAGACAACTGCTGTTGTGATTTAGTGAGATATGAATTGAATTGGAACAATCCAAAAATATGTATAAATAGAAAGATGTTAGATTTACTGTAATATAAAATCACTTCTTTCAACTCTGTGGTTCTCGACAGTGTCCGGGCACTTTTACCTCACAAGGGAAGAACCAAATTTTAACGTAGCTTTAGCATATCTCCAGACTGTGTTTTCAATGCATAAAAACTGTGCTAAAAACGCCATCTTTTTGTTATTTCCCTCAAAGTATTTGCAGCAAGACATAATATTTTAACGCACAAAAAGGCAAGAACTGTCCAACCAGAGCTGCAGTGAAAGCGGTCTACAGCCACGAGAAATGGTCGTAATTAATGTATTTGATTACTATATCATTGACCTACAGGGTTTTTGTTAGCTACCAGAGAATGGGCCGACGTGGACTCACCGTTTCCAGGCTCACACTCCTCCAAGTCCTCGTCGTCGCTGGGGCATTCTGCTGATGCTACTAACAAGTCGTCTGCGTTCTGAAACAACAAAGAAGAACAAGACAGAAGTTAATTATGAATGAGAGTTTTTAATGTGAGAACAGCAGGAGACCATGGAAACATATTCTTTTCTTTTTCTAACTTTAACCCTAAGCATGAAAGATAAGTGGGCCAAGAATCGACCCCTGTGGAACACCAAGAAGGTAGCTGAATTTTTTATTTTTTCATTACTATTTTATAACACACAGACAATGCACAACAGGAACACACAAACAAAATAACAAAAGGACCGCAGATGATAAGAACAAAACAAAAATAGAAATTTGTAGTAACATTTTGTAAAATAAAGGGACTAAAACTAGATACGTGAATAAAAAGTAAATCAAACATTTAAAAACATAAATATAAAGGGGGACAGGTTGTATAGGGAAACAGGGAGGGGAGGGCAGAGACACCCCAAATACTCTGATTGCATGTACACATACACAGCACTGATATACACAGTAATTACAAAAATATTGTATTTACTTTTTGCTGTAACGCAGTAATGTCAGGCATTCAAAAAATAAATAAAAAAAACACCTGGGTAATATTTGATTTGGTACAAAGGTCTGTAGCATCACATTGCAATTTAAACTGAAATTAAATAGTGTTTTGTTTTTATACTATGCCGCCGCGAGACCAGAAGAGAAGAACACATCTGCTCCAATAGTTGTCTGGGCAACTGTGCTTAGACAGCTGCTCCTGCGACCAGGCAACGGATAAAGCGGAAGAAAAAGGGATGTGTGGGTGGATAGTTTTAACGTCACCGCGTGAATATTGTACTCCTCTGGAAACACAATGGAACAGAAAGTCTTGTAACAGTCTAGTATAGTATAAAGTTATCTTTTCTCAGCCACAATCAAACACCATAAGTTCCACTGACGCTGACATTGTTTGCGTCTCTTTTCTCTCCACAGAGCGCCCTTACATTTGGGTCAGGCTGGAGACAAGTGATGACTCCGACAGTTCCTGCACCACCACTCCTACCACCTCCCTCTCGCCGCACATCAAACGCTACATCTTTTATTCTAAGCATCAAACGCGTTATTCCGCCGTGATCAAAGCCGGGCCGCACCGTGGCGAGGTAGCTCAGAGCACTCGCACAAATTGAAATTCGGGTATGAATGGAACGAGCGTCTGTCCCCCGCACGTGCCGAGGATGGGGGAGGGCCTGGGAACGTTCTGATGGCTATCGCTGGAGTTGGCAATGGCAGCAAAGACGAGAATAAGAATGTTTTGAGTCTTCTCCATGACCCAGATCTGAGGTTTCAGATGAGATTTTAGCTCCTCATGAATCGTGATTGTGGGAAATAGTGGACAGTGGTGGTCCCACTCCCTAAAGACCACTGGCTTCTATGCGTTTGTTATTATTGCATTTCCCGTGTTGTTTGATTTTGGGTTAAATACACAACTGTCAACCAAAACCTAAAACAATCCAAAAAATTGTGTAATTAGAAAATGTCACCCGTTTTAGAAATATATTAGCGTTAGCTTCTTATGCCTGTGTAGTGGGATTGTACAAAAAGTACATTCTACAAAAAATTATAATTCTTTCTAATTTTAATGCCAATGACACACACTAAACCAGTCTCTCTCCTTCAATCCAAGTGTGATTGTGAGCGTATATACCTGGTGCTGCTCCTGCACTGCCAAAAAATATGACAACATGGTTCAAATTTGGCTAAATAATCTTAATATGAGCACCTTCTGACTGAGGATTTGCCAATGGGAGAAAGCCAAATTATCTTGTTTTTAAAATGTTACGAGGAATGTCCCCCTTGGAATGAGAAAAACCCAACATCTTGAATCTTGAAATATGACTAAACGGCTATGGGTTCGATCCCCCCTGCTCCCCCTGATGTCGGCTGTCGTTGTGTCCCTGGGCAAGACACTTAACCACACTGAATGACCGAGGCCATGTCTTCGAGAAGTCATCATCTTGTGGATCCACCACCTGCAGGAGGATCAGGAGGGGCTGGTGCCAAGGGTACTTGGGTGGCAGCTTTGATTGCCACTTTCCAGACCCAAAAATGGAATAATAAAGAGGTAGAAAATGAAATGACATGGCTTTGCACCATTGGCAAATACAATTTAATATTTTTCTTCACACTCCCTTTCAGGCAACTATTTTGGTGTATTTTTTTAAATTATTTTTCCCCACTATATTTTGTTGGAAACTATCATGGACAAGAGGTAAATTATGCCCAATGTGAAATGCCTGAAATGAATAAATAATCACTAAAATTGTACTAAAATCAAGATTAAAATCATTTGATTCAACCAATTATTACGTCATATTTGGTCATTTTTTTGTAGTGTGGTATTTGCTCACAGAGACTTTGATGGAGCCTCTGAGCCTCTGGGCCCTCTGCCGATCAATACATCGCACTGCGCTTTAATGTTTCTGTTTGCAAAGACATGTGGAGTCTGCAGACAGGAGCAGAGTTCAGGCTGATACAGAGGAGAGCGAGATCAGTATTCAGGAAGAGCGTCCACAAGATACAGATTCTGAGGGTAACCAACAGCAGTCTGTGGAAATGGATCATAGGGGTTCAAAAAGTACATTACTGTCAAGGAGTGATGTACTGTAGCCACGGCTGCCCCGGGGCACACTGACAGAAGCGAGGCAACCAATATATGCCATCAGCCCCTCCCACCACCACCAACCATGCACACACACCTCAGACTCATTCTAATGTGTCTAGCTTAAGGACACAAGGGCAGTTTGGCAGCTGCAGCAGCCCCACTGTGGCACCTTGTGTTCCCAGAGGTCTCCCATCACAGTAATAACCAGGCCCTGCCCTACTTAGCTTGCAGTTTGGGAGAAATGGGCACTATTGATAGAAGTACTGCTCCAAATCAGTTTTAGTCACTCTCTCCAGTCAATTTATATTGTACATATATAGTTTATCCAGATAATTTTGAACACAGAAAAGGACAGGGAAAATGTCTCCCATCATAGTACTAACCATGCCCTTCCCTGCTTATTGTCAGAGGTCTAATGGGTTTAGGTCTCAGATATAGGTATCTGTCAAGTATATTATTCACATCACTTTATACAGCAGCATTGTCTTCAGTCTTTGGGGAAGCCAGAATTCTGAACTGATTTCATTTTAACCAGGTTTTGTATATTTTCCAATCGTTCTGAGAAGTGAATCTGTGTTTTTGTCTGACTTCCTTCTAATTCCGGCTGCCTTCGGCTCCAATCTTCCCGGACGTGCAAAGAAGCGGGGAATTTGGGCAAATCCTTGATCCGTTTTTAACATTCTGTCAGGTTTTCTGATCGCTGCTGACGGAAACATGAAAAACCACCTCGTGATAGATTTCACTTTTCATCAACGACAGAGAGAAGAGAGAGAACGGGGAGAGAGAGAGACCAGAGAGAGAGAGGGGACAGAGAGAGAAAGAGAGAACACAGAGAGAGAGAGACACCAGAGAAAGAGAACAGAGAGAAAGAGAGAACCCAGAGAGACAGAGAGAGAGAGAGAGACCAGAGAGAGAAAGAGAGAACCCAGAGAGGCAGAGAGAACAGTGAGAGACCAGAAAGAGAGAGAGAACAGAGAGAACAGAGAGAGAGCGAGAACAGAGAGAAAGAGAGAACCCAGAGATAAAGAGAGAACAGAAAGAGAGAGAGAACAGCTGTAATGCGCCTCTCTCCTCTGTTATCCTGGATCGTGTTGAGAGAGATCACCGCGGCCTTCGTGTCTCGCTCACCAAGACTTGTCGTTCGCTTGTCAGATTAAGAGAGGTTTGACTGGATCACGCCAAAGAAAAGTTTAGACACCCCTTTCAATTCTCACAATTTTTTATAAAGAATTTTCTGTTTGAATAAGAAATGACAGTTAAATATATCACACGGGAGCCAAACACAGGGATACTTGAGAATTGAGGCAAATCTCGGCAAATACAATTGGAGCAGATGTGTTCTCCTGCTGAGTATAAAAAGACTATTTATTTCAGGTTAAAATGTAATGAAACTTTACATTTGAGCTGAGCCAAATTTTACCCAGGGATTTTTTGTGGGAATTTCTTACATGCTCTGTTTTTAATGCACTACACATTTCATTTTCTCCAACTCGTTATATTAATCTGTTTTTAACCCGTCTCATAGACAGCAGCAGGAAGAATAGACTTTGTTTTCACGGTCCATTTGGTTTAATGCTGGTGGGACTCGAAACCCTGGACTCCCTGGACATGAGATCTGGTCCCTGGTCTAAAACCCTGGACTCTCTGGACCTACACAAATATAATAGATTTACATCGATACTTTTGCAATGCGTTAATATTTGTTAATGTTCTATTTCTTATTTATTTTGACTTTGAGTTTGCAGTGTCAGCCAAAGCCATCACTGCAGACACAGTCTATATTATTATCTATCTAGAGTTGTCTTATAATTTTATTATCTTTTTTTGTTTTTTAAATAGATCCATTTTCCCCTTAAGGACTGTTGCTTATATGACTATTGTTAGCTTTTTAAAATTAAAGACACCTGAATTTCTCCTATGGGGATCAATAAAGTATCTATCTATCTATCTATAACCTGTTTGCTCTTGATTCTCTTTATATTCTGGTCTAACAAGGAACTAAGAGATTTAAATTCCCCCTGAGCAACGAGGGAATAAGGGCGTATATTATTCTATCTACCATCCTATCTCTGCATGTTTAAAAATGCTATTAAAGCGCCCAGAATTTCACTCTGAGCAGAGCAGAGAAAATGGTCAGAACCAAGCAGATTCTCTCTATGTCTCTATCTCTGTCTATCCAGCCCACCCACCCCCACCTCACCTGTGTGACGCTGTCCCTGATGGTGGGCGACGATCTCTGCTTGCGGGTGGTGGTGGTGGCCATGGTGGTGGTGGTCTCCATGATGGTGGTGGACATGTCGGCCAGCGGGGTGGTGGAGGTGGTGTCCGTGGTGAGCACCGAGGGCACGTCCCCCACCAGGCGGAGGTTCCCCTGGGTCTGCACGTTGGGGTCCCCCTCGGCGGCTAGCTTTAGCACCTGGAGCCCGTTGTAGTAAAGACCCGAGATCTGGCCCTGGAAGTGGCGGCCCTTCTCTCCCCCACCACCTCCTCCCCCACCGCCGATCTTGATGAACGCCTGGCTGTTGAAGATGGTCAGCTGACGGCCTGGTCGGGAGGAGAGAGACCGTTAGCAGAGGTCAAAGGGCAGGCAGGTCAGAAGAGACGGACACAGACACATGCAGACATTTGGAGACGATGAGGACATGCAGTGAAGCTTGAGGTACAACAACTCGGGTAGTAACGAACTTAGTTAGTCTGTTCATTGCTATTCACCCATTGTCCCATTGTCTGTTCCTATTGTCTTATGTCAGCACCTGTGGACTGGTCTCCCTTGGCCTGGACTCTTGGATGCAACCCCCTGGGAGCTTCTTCATTCCTGGATCTACAGCTTCAGTCCTGGATCTACAGCCTCAGTCCTGGATCTACAGCTTCAGTCCAGATCAGTCCTGGATCTACAGCTTCAGTCCTGGATCTACAGCCTCAGTCCTGGATCTACAGCTTCAGTCCAGATCAGTCCTGGATCTACAGCTTCAGTCCTGGATCTACAGCCTCAGTCCTGGATCTACAGCTTCAGTCCTGAATCTAAAGCATCAGTCCTGGGTCTACAGCCTCAGTCCTGGATCTACAGCCTTAGTCCTATATCTACAGCCTCAGTCCTGGATCCACAGCCTCAGTCCTGGATCCACAGCCTCAGTCCTGGATCTACAACCTCAGTCCTGGAGTCCTTGCCTGGCCTGCCAGACACTCCTCCTTTCTGTTCAAAAGAAGAACCGTCTGGACACCTCTTCCTAGCCTATCATTTCACGATTTTACCCACATCGGTCCAATCACGCACCGAGAGGCGGGACTTCCTTTCACCTTTGAGTTGCTAATAACTCCTCGTATCTTTAAGTTTTTGTTACAAAATCGACAGCAGTCGTTTACATTTGCACTAGCTGACATGCCGCCATCCCTTGTTTTGTGTTTACTGAAACGGCTTGGGTGCCGCTAGTTGCTGCGTCATATCCTGTGTGCATCTAATTGGTTGATGCAGTCTGTCAACCACGCCCACCGGGAATTCGCTGAGATCAAGCTCGTTCCCAGACTATATGTCTTTGAAAAAGCATATCGTTTGGCAGGCCAGGCAACCTGAGTCCTGGTTCTACAGACTCCACTCCTACAAACCTATGGCTCCTATGTGTTTGTCATTATGGCATTTTCGTGTTTTATTCTCTGATCCGTAGTTAGTGAATTGACAACTTTGTTAAGTCCTCCGAGATGACTGTCTAATAAATCCAGTGAAAGGTACAGCATTTGAAAGAGTTTGGAAGAAAACTCCCCCAACACACTCTGGCCTGTTTGGTCACATGACACACTGCCCTGGCCTACTTCCCCTCACTCCTCCATCACTGGTTCCTCACACCCCTGTAGGGAAAGCAGAGCGTATCGTGTTGCATTATGGGAACACGGATGCCACTTTCACTTCACAATGTGGCACGCACAATGGATTGCCGGGTCTGCTGCTGCCTGACCTCCAGACTCCTGGGTTCAACGCCCAAATGGAATACATTAGAACAATGGAGGGGCTCCGGCATTGACCTCCACTGCACCTTGGGAGCCCGCATGATAAAGTGCTTTGGCTCCGGGCAGGAGGACGTGAGATTGGGGTCTGGAGATGTTTAATTCAGGATGTAAGGCTCTCCTCAGCGGCCATTGACAGCACTGGGATAAGATGGACTTGACCTTATCATACCATCGTACTCATTTCCTTTTGTACTAAGGTCTGGATTCCATTTCGCTCTGTTAACAGGTGGGAGGGGCTAACTCCTTTTGCAGATTGAAACCATTGGATCTGAGTTTACCGTGACGTATGTAATGCATCCGGAATTTAGCAAATTGGCATGTATCATAGCTTTAGCATTTAGCCTACCTTTAGCCATCTTCTTTGCCTCTAACGGAGCCCGTGGGGAGTAGAGCCACAACATCTTTGCAGCAACGACATATGCTAAACATTCTTCTTGCTCCGGCTTCAATTTCTTGATATTCGGAGCCAAAACATAACGGATTATTGTACTATCGCATTCTACGCTATTGCCAAATTTGCAAAATTTGCCAAATTTGGTGCAAACTCTTGATGTCACCAACAGCACCTGCCTACCCCACTCTTTGATTGGTCGGAGGGGATTCAACCGAAGTAACAGCAGCCACTAGGATCGGACCCAGACGTGCATGTAGGAAATGATCATGGATGGCTAAGTCCAGGCTAATTTTGCTGATAAAAAAACTTGTCTTCTGAGTTCTGCTGGGTATCTGTCAGATCTACTTTTGTGCTGCGCCTACAAACACTGGCTTATCACCTGAGTTTGGATGAAATTATATTATTCATTTAATCCAAACTCAGGTGTTAGGTGTCTTTGAATGTCCGAAAAAAGTTCTGTTTTAAACGAATGCATTATGATTATTATTATTATTGACCATTAGAATAACAATGAGACTTTTCCTTATAACAAATTACATTTCCACCTGCATGTGATCCTGTCAGATCCCTGCAACTACGCTAGGGCAGGACCTGCGTCACTAGCATTGCTTCTAAAATGCAGACTAAATCATGTCTGTGGTCAGGGGTAAGCGGTTGAGAGCACTCGATGAGGTAATTACTTAGAGGGGGAAAGGACAAGAGGCCAGAGAGGTTTTTTATGGATTAATCAATGGAGGAAAGAGGAGGAGGAGGAAGAAGATACTGCAGTCATGTGTTTTTGATCCGAGGTGGGATCCATGGGTCTCTCTGGGATGGATGCAGATTCAGATTAATTTATTTGCCATTTGCAGTAAAACCACATTGGAAAAACTGTGCAACCCTACCCCAGTGTGCACCAGGAGCTGAGGCAGGATCCATGGGTCTCTCTGGGATGAGTGGGATCTAAGAAATTGCTGCACCCTCTTGCTTCTATATCATGGTAAAAGCTAGAGATTTTATTTTATTTTAGTTGAAAGTTATTGTTCATTTATCTTGTGCTGTGTCCTCATTCCTACTGTTGTGTAACTCGTAATGCAACACTGAAAGTTCCCCACTGCGGGACGAAAAAAGGATCTCTTCATCTTTATCTTGAGTGGATAGCGCTCCCGCTTCTCAGCAAATAGATCCTGGGTTCAAATCCAAGTCGCATGTTCTTCCCGTGACTGCTTAAGTTTCCTCCAGGTGCTCCGGTTTCCCCTACCACTAAGAACATGTACGATCAGGTCTTGCAATTGCCTTTCTGTACGTCAACCTACTCCAGAGACAAATGCCCACAACAATTGTAAAGCGCTTTGTGACTCTGGTCTGTGAAAGGCGCCATATAAATAAACACTGCTTACTTACTAATATTAATCTTAATCTTCAACATTCCCCTTTAGCTGCTGCGGAAGTTTTACTGCTGCATTTATCTGGTTGATTAATGCGTTTCTTTATTTTCTCCTGGATCCCGGCGATAACCTGCTTCTACCATACTTCATAATTAGCTGAACTCTGATGGTGATTTACATCCAGTTTCTCCATCTGCAGGTGTAGGGTCGGGGAGGTAAGGGTCACGTTATAATTGCAGACTATTGAAATATGCGTCTATTTATAAATGATGGGAGTAGGAGTGTTTTTCTGCTCATAATGATAGAGATTGCACTGGGTTCTATTATGAACCAAACCCAACCGTGCAAAATACAACCCCAGGTCTCTCTAAGATGTCTGCTCATTCATTTCAATGGTCTGGGCTCATTGGCACCATGGGACGTACCAAACATTGGCAGAAGTGATGTGTTCTGGCCACCTCTGGTTCTCCTGGTCTTGTACAGTAGGTGCAGTGGTTCTACTTCTGCAGGACGTGGACTCTCTGGTCTCTCTCTGAAGTTTATCCCTGGTCTTTCCGTCTGGTCTCTCTCTCAGGTCTTTCTAGTCTCCCTCTGATCTTTCTTTCTGGTCTCTCTCTCTCTGGTCTCTCCGTCTAGTCTCTCTCCCAGGTCTTTCTGGTTTATCTCCCTTGTCTCTCTGTGATCTCTCTTTAGTTTCTTTCTCTGGTCACTCTGATCTCTCTCCCTAGTCTTTCTCTCTTGTCTTGCTCTAGTCTCTCTCCCGGGTCCCTCTTTTTCTCCCTGGTCTCTTTCTAGTCTCTCTCTCTGGTCACTCTATGGTCTCTTTCTCTCCCTGGTCTGTCTCTAGTCTGTCTCTCTGATCTCTCTTTCTTATTTCTCTCCCTGGTCCCTCTCTGTCGCTCTGTCTCTCTCTCTCTCCCTGGTCTCTCTCTGGTCTTTCTGAGTTAAACAAAAAGACATAATAAACTTTTCTACCTCCATCTTACCCATACACGTCTTGCCCTTTCTTAAAAAATCCCTGCATTGGCCTTGTATCATATAAACGCACGTCAGTTTTCGCTCCCGCCCTCTGCTAATCACACTCCATAACTCTCTCTGATGAAGTTGTTTCGTTCTCGTTCGGTCAAATCAAAACCGACAAACGCATCTACAGCCAATTCGGATAAGCGCAAGACATCGCCGCCGCCGTGCTTATTAAGGTCCATCTAAACGTGAGGAATATGTCAACGGCGTGACCGCAAAGACGATATTGTTTAGCTCGCCGTTGAAGGCTGCTAATGGGGGCAAGCGATTGGGCGAAATGGGTGGGATTGGCGAGATGTGGATTGGTCCATTTCCCTGAAGCCCAGAGGTGATGGGTATTTAATGGACGAGCAGGAGGGGGGAGGCGGGGGGAGATGATGAGACAATAAGGTTCGAGAGGGGAGTGATTCGAAGACCAATGAAGATGGACGTCTGGGGAGGACGGGGAGAGAGAGAGAGAGAGAGACAGAGAGAGAGAGAGACAGACAGAGAGAGAGAGAGAGAGAGAGGCGGTTCTCTCCTGCCATGATATAGAAAATCAGCAGTTGGTTCTATAAAAGTTTTGGGGGAGATTTGAGATTAGATTTTGTGATCTGCTTCAGATCCACCTCTGCTGCTGTGACCTGAAGTGATGTTTCTTATTATCACTAATGTTAGCTTTTTAGAACGATCAATCTCATTTCTAATTTTTGCTGCTACTGGACACCTGTATTTCTCCTACGGGGATCAATAAAGTATCTATCTATCTACAGTGCCTTGCGAAAGTATTCGCCCCCCTTGAACCTTTCAACATTTCGCCACATTTCAGGCTTCAAACATAAAGATATAAAATTAATTTTTTTTGTCATGAATCAACAA